CAGCTTTTCTGCACAGAGAGGCAAGGTATGGTTTGTTTCAATAATCTGCTTTTTGCTGTGCTGGATTCCAGCTTCCTTAGAGAAGGATTTTCAGCTGCTCTCAGAGCTTGCAGTGATGAGGTGACACAAATAACTCCAGTTATTTCTGCAAGCCCAGGAAAGGGTACAGCAGTTCAGTGCAATATAAACCAACTGCATGGAATCCATTCCACACTGGCTGCTTGGCTTCCTAAAAGCCTCATAAAGCTCATTGTAGTTACTTTCTTTTGAAAAATCCTCTCTGCCCATACTTTTCTGAAGTAGGAAGAGTCTTTTTTTCTCTTCCCTTCCCTCTGTACCTTTTCTCTCTCACACACACAGACCTGATTCTGGGTGTAAACCTGGTACACCCCAGTAACAAGGTCTTGGTACATTTATTGCTGAATTAATGCTCAGGTATTTTAACATCATTGCTTCAAGGTCAGGAGTGATGCCCTTCAGTCTGTGCTCTGCTTACAGAATCACTGTGGCCCCCCCCCCATGGGATTTATTTTCTTTTCTTTTTACCTTCTAACGTGTCAATGTATGCCCGTGGATATTAGAAAGCTTCATTTGTCTCAACAAATATGTCTAATCCTTGATTTGTGTGGATATAATTTTGAAAAATGCTGTAGCATGAGTGGAATTAAATGTGTGGTGTGTTTTGGGGAATTAGCCCCTTGCTTTGGAAAGCCTGTGATTAAATTGAATCTGTTGCTTTTGTGGGCTGCCTGGTTTCCCCTGTGTGTCCTGCATGATATCTGATGTGATAAAGTTGTTTCACCATCTGCATATCTGCTTTTATCACTGCTGTTAGACTTTGATTTGCTGCTTCAAGAAAGAGAACTTTCCTTGAGAAGTTTCGGTAAACACACAAATGCCTTTCCCTGTGTTGGAATTGAAATTTTGCACTGAATGCTGGCATGACCTGCACTGAGCATCAGTGGGAACCAGAGTTCCATGTGCTGCTGACAGCTTTGAAACACAACAATGAAAGTCACTTTATCAGCTCTTTGTGTTCTTCAGATTTATTTTCAGAGGATCTGTGTAACACTTGGATGTAATTCGATAGCCAAACAGTGAACAAGAACAAACCAGGTTCAATTACTTGCTACTTGATCCTTGGAATAAACCCAGCTGGTTATAAAAGTTCTAAATAATTTTGTAAATAAGATGCTGAAATAGGAATTTGTGTCCATCGTCTGTAGATGGATTCCAGTTAGATTATGACAACACTGTTCTTTAGGAATTCAAACCCTGAACAGATTTATACCTTCATATTCTGATTTTTAACATGAAATATTCAATATTTAGATTTTTAACAGCATACAGTGTTCTGTAATTAATAACAAGTATTATTAACAAGCATTATTCTTTCAACCCAGCTGTGTGTGAAAGGTTCACAGGTCCAACCTGCTCTCAGAATACTGAATTAATTCCTCAAGGAGGTCTGGAAACCCACTGGTGTTCCAAGGTGACACAAGACATTTGTTAAGCACAGTTGGAGGATATTTCCAAGAAAACTAAACATAGTTGATGGCACCATCATTCAAATTCTGCTTTTGATTGATTGTCAAGTTAAGACTAGCATGTCCTCTTTGTTTCTCTCATTCCAGTCCATGCAATCTAAAAGATTTATGGATAAAATCTGGAGTGTCAGTCTCACAAAGTGAGAAGTTGCAGTTTTTATCACAGAATAAGGCAATTTGACCATTTTTTAACACCTTGGCAAGAGTTTATGACAAGAATAGACAAAAAAGAAATACAGAGGAAACTTTCCCATCAGACTAAACCAAGGTGAAATATAGAATTTCCAAAGTGCAAAAGGTTGAGCTTATTTTTTTTTTCCTCTGGAAGATAAAATTTCAAAAGCTCTGGAAGGTGGTTTTCAGAAGTTTGGCAGATGCCTCAGTGTTTCAGAACAGTTGTTAGTGTTTTTCCTGGCCAGTTCTCCTCCCCTCAGAGTGGGTATTCAGAGGATGCAGTTTTATGTTTCAGCTGGACTCATGAGCTGTGGGCAGTGACCAAAAAGGGAGGGCTTGTTTTCCTCTCCCAAGCTTTTCCTTCCCTCTCCAGTGTGTCAGTGGTACTGCTACTCTGACCCCACAGTGAACTGACTCAGAGAACCAAGGCTGTAGAAAACTAACACTAGAAACAAGGAAAATAATGGCTTTTCACTGATGTGGTGCTCTGATCCATCCCGGGGTCAGGACAATGCCAGGGTTGTGACTGGGGTGTGCAGGATGAGTGGGAGAGCTCTTCGTTAATGTAAATGTGGTGTACATGTAGATTTCTAGCAGTTTTATCAGGTTAAAGATTATTTCTGGATCATCTCTACTGCTGATAAGAAGGGTTTTGTTTTCTCTGCTTGGTGCTCTGTTTTCCTGCATCCTCCTGCTGATTTCTGGTTTGTTGGATCAGGAGATTCAGCTGAAGACCAAACTAACAACAACAACAAACAGAATTTCAGCTTCACAAAAGTTATTCTGACATGGGAAGGGACAAGGTAGTGTGAATTTGTCCTTCGTGACAGCAGCACAAATAAATTTCCTAAAGCCAGTTTTGATGTTGCACTGTAAGTGTTCATTTAGGAGAAGTTTATTTGCCAATTCATTGAGTATCAGGTGCTGTGCTGTGCAGGTTTAACCTTCTTGAAGGATAAGGTCTGAAATCATGTGTAGCATCTTCAGTCTCTGTTTTGCCCATGTTTGCTCCTCTGGTGTCTCTGCTGAGATGGACAGTGAGCCACACAACACTGCTGGATGTAGGAGAGACATCAGTGTATGCAGTGTGTGATGGTCTGCTGTAAAATCATAATCTGTGTTAACATCAATGCCTTTTGGAAGTTTTATCTTAAATTTTTCATAATAACAGTAAAAATAATATTAATAAAATAATTATTTGTGTTATAAAATATTATCTTGTAATAATATAGCTAATATAAGAAATATTAATATATTTAATATTAATAAAAAAAACGAAAAAAAAAAAAATTGAAAAAAAAAATGGTGGAAAGAAAAAAAAAAATAAAAAAATTAACAAAAAAAAAAAAAAAATATATAATTATTTATTATAAAATAGTCTGTTCTGTCTGGTTTCACTGAAGTGTCTGTGTCATTGAACACATTATCTGGGGTGTGTGGGAGGGATGCTCTTGGCACGAGAGCACAGCTGATGGCTTGGAGCTCCAGCTCTGAGGTGAAGTGCATTCCTGATCCCTGAGGGACCTGGCAGCTCTGAGGAAATGCCGTTCTGGCCTCTCCAGACACATTTCACAAGTACCCATGGGCTCAAGACTTTCTTTTGAAGTTTTTGTTTCTTTCAGACGTGAGATTCAATGCAATGCCCTCTGGCCTGGCTTTTCTCCCTGCTGCTGTTTTCTTTTGGGATTACTGTTTGCTCATTGTTTGGTTCAGGCCATACTCAATTGCCCTTGTAATTAATGTGGAGCTAATAACCATGTGCTGATAATCAGGCTGCTCTGCTTTTCTGGGCTTGGTTTGACTCCTTCAGCTCCCACTGACTCTTGGCGGGAGATTTTTACATTTAACACCTCTGAACTAGAATATTTCAGCTCTGGGCAACCTGCTGATGAGTTAAGACACATTTGGTGATAGGATTGTTCTGACTAAATATGAGTGCCTAGAATTGAAGTGTCTGGATGAAAATGAGTCACCCTAAGATGCCTTTAGGGACAGTGAATTTCTGTCATTGTGCTCCTGGGGCTGCCATGCTGTGTGCTTCACCCTGTAAGAAAAATGGGAGAATTTTGCTGTCACATTTTGATGGGATTTCTAATTTAATTAATTTGGACAATTGATTTAAATGTCTTTATTTGGTTTTAAGTCCATGTTTATCTGTGGAAATGGAAGTGGCTAGACATAAGAGTTTGTGGAGCTCCCTCAGGCTGACATCAAGAGGAGCACCTTTAAAATGAAGATGCTGAGATGCATGTGACAAATGTACACTCTGTTTAAGAACTTCACATGTACAGGAATAGTAATATTACCACTGAAACATGAAATTGTCAGCTTGCAGATCAGCACTGGCATTTGAGTGACAGCAGTTGTGAAGTTGGTTTTTCTTCATGCCCCAGGGTGTGCTCTGCAGTTCCTGTGTCTCTGCTGGAAGCTGCTGCCTTCACTTTGCACCTTGTGTTTGACAGGTTCAGTCTCCTCTTTGCCTGGATACTTCATCCTGTGCAAAAAAAAGAACCAGTTTACCTCCTGTCATCCACATTCTGGCTTATTTCACAGTTGTATTTGCAACAAGTTTGTTTAAAGCTTCAAACACCCATTTGTACAGTTCTTGGCTGTCACAAATGAAGAGATGAACTTAATAGTTGCTCCCTTTTCTCTACTTAAAGCTCTTCCTTTCCAAAAACCTTTAATTGTAGGTACCCCTGGGTAGCAAATCCACAGTACTCAGGTAATGTTTATAACAAATTGCATTTTACTTGTCCAAGCTTGATTAGGATTTAAGTGTCTTTGGCAGAAAGAAAAGATCAGTGAAAGTTCACACTTAATATATGTATAAGGAGAAAAAAAATGGAAAAAAAAATCAATGCTCAGGAATTGTAGGGTTCAGTTTAAGAACTTGAACTTTCCGTGATTCTTCTCAATTACTTCATTTCCACATTAACATCATCATTATTGATCAAGTGCCAGCTCCAGTATAATACTCTAAACTTGGAAAAATTCTTTAAGTACTCTGAATGTGTTGCAGCTTGGGGGAGAAGAGAAGGCCATGGAATTTGAAGCAGGAACCAGACTCACCTTTTGTGCTGTGGCACCTGGGAGATTCTGGTACACACTAAGAACCTGCTAAATTTCCAGCACTTGCTCTTCTCAGTGCTTGAAATTGCTGAAGTTTAGGCACAGGCACAATTTCAGGTGAATGTGTGAGGTCTGTTTGTTCCTCAGCAGCTGCTGGGTTTGGTATTTTGTGAACTGACTGGATTTTTATCTCTTTTTTTCCCCTAGGTGTTCACCTCCCATGGGCCCACTGTGATCATGCCAACCTGGTTCTGCTCTCGGGAGTGGTTTTTCCATGTGGGGAGATTTGATGAGGGTGGAAAGGTGAGTGCTGCAGGTGATCTGGAGTCCAGGAGCCATCCCTTTGTTTATCAGCCTCTACCTGTTATTAAGGAGCAATAGGGAAAGGGTGTTGATGAAAACAGCTCTAAAAAAACCTAGGTCATACAATTTAAAAAAAAAAAACCTGTCTCCAACCAACTGGAGTTGTTTGGGAATAACTCTGGTGATGGAAGGACCTACCTAAAGTTGACATTGTAACACATCTATTGGATGTGTCAGCAAACCTGGAAAAAGTAAAGTTTCAGACATCCAAGCTCCTCTTTGTCCCTGGAATAGATGCTAAAAACAGGTGAGCCCTTAGTTTTGTTCTGAGCAGGGTGGGTTGGTTGCTGAAAGAAGTTGGGAGGGAAGGAAGGTGAAGAATGGCAGAGGGATAAAAGTACCTTCACCTAAAGGGGAAGGTTTATATCCCTGAGAGGAAAAAAGAAGGGCCATTAAAGTATTACCACAAAAACTCATTTATCCACCTGTCCTCTTGTCAATCATAGTCCTTGTGCTTGTTCTTGGAAGGTTTTAAGTAGCTTCTGCTCAAGGATCAGGGCTGAGAGGTTACAAATTCAATACCTGTGGTCTCAGAAGTGTTTTTTCCCTGACAGTTAGGTGTTCTTTGTCTTTATGAATTTCCTGTATGAGTTCAATTGGATTGCTTTAAGCTCATCAGTGTGTTTGTGGAATAAAATCCATGGGTGTCTGTTAGCAGTATTTATTGTGGTAGTCGGAATATGTTGGCAAATAGATTTAATTTAAACACATTTGGATCCATTTTGTGTGGTTTGGTTTGAGAGGTTTGGCTTCCAGTGGTTTTGCTGAGATTTCAGGGCTAAAATGGGTAGTTCTGATTTTTTTTTAAGCTTTCATTTGTTAGCACTCTAAAACAAATCTGCTAAGGCTATTTCCTATTTAATTATTTAAACTACAACAGATGATTATGATGATGATTATTATTATTTTTATAGCTTTTAAATGAAGCCCTTCAGTGCCATGCAGTGTGTGTATATATATACATGTGTGTGTATGTATGAGGATATACAAATATTATTCTTTGGGCTGCCAAAAAATTATAATTATAAGGAGACAGCAGAGAGAGAACTGAATTGTTTAGAGCAGTGAAAAGATTTGCCCTTAATTACATGGTGGGTGAGTGGAAGAGCTGGGAATGGTGCCTGGCTCCCAATACAATCTACATTTACTGACCCATACTCTTTATTTCTTTTTTATTATTATTTCTTATCATTGTATTTTCACTCTCTGAAGGATGTTTGACTTCTTGAGTGTTGTTAGTAAGCTCCAGAAAGAAAGCAAGCAAGTTAAAGCAGCAGCAACAATAGAACAGCAAGCCTAATGATAAAGTTCAAGAGGTTAAGTTAAATAGACTATTGTTCTGTGCTTTTTGCTTTTCATTTTGGCTTTTTTTCCTCCTTGTTTTGTTTTATGAGTTGGGTTTTTTTTTGTTTTGCTCTCTCTGTGTAATTGTGTAGGAACTATGCCACTGGTTATTCACTGACAATCTTAATCCTGATGATTTTTCAGCCACAATGCTTGATATGTCCTTCCAGTTTGAAGAATTACCAGTGATAAGTTGAACTTATTGTTTGTCCCTATTGTGAGGTGTCCAACATGCCCAAGCTCAGACTCTGTCTGATACAGAGACATTCAGAAAGGTCTAAAATACCCTAAAAACAGGACAGACCTGAACAAAGCCGTGAACTCAAACTTTTGTCTTCTGTGGGTTTAGAGGACACAAAATCAAGCCTTAAATCTTGAGCATTTAGTGTTACAAAGTATTTAACATTGCTCTAACTCGTTCATTTTCATTTGAAAAGAATCCCTTTAAAGCAAAGGAAGTGTTTCTGTGCATCAGCAGAGCTGAGAATACTCTGAAGGGTTTCATCCCTGTAAGTTCTGACCTGAGCCAGGATCTGCATTAATCTGATCACTTCCATCTCCATTTTTGAGTCAGTGTTTATTAATGAGGCTTGCCAGTGTCACATTGCTGAAAGTAAACACAGAACAGGCCAACAAATCCCCATGTTTTGGCCTTCTCCATTTGCTGAGCTGTTTCTTGCCAAAAAGCTGCATTTCTCATTTGAAATTAAATCCAAACACCTGTTCTTCGTATTTCAGTGCTGAGGAAAGAATGGAGGGTAATTCTTCCATGGGAGAAATTATGATTTGGTGTTGATGGTAACAGAGTGGGTGGAGTGATCAAATACAAATAGATGTGCTATGGTGTAAATCTGTTTTTAATCCTTTTTTTATTCCAGATAGATATTTCTCTCTCCAGTCATTCAGGCTTTAGGTGAAACAGGTTTTTCCATTTTTCTTTTCTTTTTTTTTAATGAAGTTCTTTCTGATGAAGATCTGCAGTTGATGCAAGTGTATTCCTTTAGATCCAAACAAAATACTATCTTCATAAATAGTCTGTAAGAACCTGACAGGTTTTATATATTAATTAATAAAAATTTAAAATCTATTAATTAACTAAAATTTTATATATTAATTAACTAAAATTATTTATGCCATCTCTGATGAATGATAATTAAAGCAGGAGTACTGAAAAGATTTTAGCAAGCTCTGATGGTGTTCTGAGACCAAGATAATACAATGGAAGTGGTCACAAGCCTATAAAGTTACATTTCAAATAGTATCCCCTGCTGGAAGAAGAGTCACATGATAAACCATGTTTTTACTTACTTTTTTTAGGAAACTAAAAGAAAATATTCTTTTAATCAATTTTGGATAAAGAGTGCAGCACTTCCTTATTGCAAAAAGTAGCAGCACTTCCTAAACCCTTCAGAACTCCCATTTGCCGCTTGGTGTGTGACATTACCACGGGTGGCTTTGCTGCTGCAGTTTTTGGTGTCTCCCAATAAGTAGCACCATTGTTAAAAAGTAATAACCGTGTCCAAAAGCATCACAAAAAATTGTGCTGGGGAGAAAAATGCCCATGTTCTGGCCTAATGTGAAAAGCAGGTTTTAAAGCTGTGTCATCTGTTAGAGTGGGGAACTCCCCAGTTGTGTGCAGTGGGAGATGAGGTGCCTGTTATTAGTGAAGAAAAGTTATTTTTTCGTGATTCTGACAGGAATGCTGAGTACAAGGAGAGCTGTACAAATGAGCATTGCTGCCCTGCATGCAAGGGTGGAAAATTGCACTCTTGGCTCTCTCCAGGCAGAATTACTCTTCACATCACAACTGTTATGTGCCAAACTTGTCTCTTTCTCTAGAATTTTACCACAACTTGCTTCCAAATTTCCTGTCACCCCTGTGTTTATCCTTCCTTTTTAAGTGTATGAAAACTGAAAATGGAGTGACAGCCTTAAAGTTCTGAGCTAATCTCAAAGTGTAAACAGGGGGAAAATTATTCTTAATGAGCCCCAGATGGAATCGTGCATTGTAAAGCACCAGCCTGTCTGAATACAAACTCTGAACAAAATGTCTGGAGCTCAGTTTCATTCTATTTTTGTGATAAAAGGTCACAAAAAACACGAACTGAGGAGGTGTCAAAATATCCTTTTGAGCACAGGAGACTGTAGGCCATGTGGAAAGCTCTGAGGTAAATGTGGCTGTTAGGCACCCACTGATGCAATTTTCCACGTTTCCCTGCCAGAGCACACAAATGTCACTCCATTCAGAAAGGCAAGTGGTTGTAATAATGCCTGAGAGGTAAAAGGCCAAGTAGGAATTTGGTTTTTTGGAATGTGAATTAAAATACTCTGTCTGTCAAATAAGCTATCAAGATGCTGTGGAGAAAATTTGGATAAAATACAGGCACTACTGGGGGTTTTTGGTTTGTTTTTGGCTTGATATAGTTAAGGCTGAACAGAGATCAATATTTGATCTAAAAAGCAGAGAAAAAGTAGTGGAGTCTGTGATTAATTACACTTTATGATCTATTTGAAAATTCACCCCATACCCCATGTCTAATTATATTTTCTGCTGGTCTGTTATTAAATATCATTTACAATTTACCACCTCCCTTCCATTTGACTTCCCCATCATCTTTGTTTAACTGCATATCTCTGTGCCAAGACATTTGGATGAAAGCAACCTTTTGTAGTTTCCTTTAACCTGTTATTTCCTAAACAATAAAATAAATCCTAATGGGCTCTGGGTCCTGTAATCAAGGCAAAATGATGGAAAGGCATTTGGATGAGAGCCAAGAAATGAAGTGACAGATCTGCAGAAAGGGAGACTTAAGAATATCTTGGATAATCCTGTAGGAAAGCTATTAATAGCTATTTAATTCTTCCCACTCGCCAGTTTTAGGCTCCTCTGAGGAATTAGAGTGATTTTTTTCTGTCCAACAATTACCCTGATGGTGCTGAGTGGTTTTCAAAATGTTGCAGCCTAGTTTTCCTTGATGCCCCTGACCAAAAGGGAGGACCAAGCTTTTCCAAACGTGAAGACTTTTTCCCCTGTGGATTGATGCACTTCTCCTGTCTTATTTTCATTGCTGTTTATTATAAGTGCATGTATTCATGAAATAGTGGTAGATCTCCCATTTTCACCAATCAGACTTCTCTGCACAGGCTAAATCTCCACAGGTTGTGCTCACAAAGATCTGCCAACTCTGCCAGAGTGTCTGTGAGCTGGGACAGGGCAGGGACTGAGACAAGGCTGGATAGGGATGGGGGAGGAAGCTGGGACAGATTGATTCTGGTTTAGCAGTAAAAGGCAGCTTTTATATTGTGTATGTGCCTCTGCAGCCCCATGGTGGTTTCTGTCCAAGCGAGCAAATTAAAGTTCCTTCAGCCTGAAGTGCTGCTCTTGGTCATCCCAGCATGACCTCAGCAGGTGCTCATGGTTACAGCATTGCGCAGGGTATCAGGGCATCACTTGAATTAAAACTCTTCCAAAAATTGCTGTTGGTCCCTCTGGGAAGGTAATAAACCCCTCAGGGAAACCTCCAGGCTTTGCCTGGAAAGATCCCTGCTGATGCTCCTCATCCTAGCTGATGGTGGAGGTGCAAGAGTTGTGCAAGAATTGCTTGTTGGGAGATGCTTGAAGCTCTTTGGGAAATGTTGAGGTGGCTGCAATTGGAGCACAGTTTGCTGGCAGGAGTAAGAACAATGAGCAGGAAAGTTCACAGATAATTTAGTTAACCCCTTAAAGAGGAGTTCCTTTAACTCAGATTTGCTTGACACACCCCATGGTGTATTAAAAAAATCAGTTCCTCATCTGTACCACCATCAGCACACCAAGCAGTACCTGCCCAAAATACTGGGTCAGCAGAAACCTTCCTCTGTTCAGTGGGAATGTGCAAAAATTAACTATGATTTTGCATTTGGCTGGTTAGAGCAGAGCAGGGGCAGGCTGTGCTTTTCTCTGGGAGCTGTAATTAGTTTATGCCTTTTTGCAGCAGAGGATGTGGGGTTGGGTTTTGCCTGTAATATGGAAAATTCTGCATGTAGTCCAGTAACATGTAAACTGTGCAATTTAATTGTATTTATTCTTGCTGAAAGCTATTGATGTGGTAGCCTATTGCTGAAATGCTGGGTTAGTAATTGATACTTTTAGCTATGGATATTCATTTTCAAAAAATACATTAAAATATCCCTTTAGTGGTTAAACAGCTTTCTCTTTCAGAGCTGTGCTGTTTCACAAAGATTCCTGGTGTTTAAAATGGCATCTGGATCCAATAATAGATCTCAGCTGGGAAGGAACTCTTGTGTTGCAGCAAACTTACACGCTCAAGAGCCCGAGGAAGTCCCATCCCTGCAGGATCCATAACACAGTCAACATTTTCCTCTGAAAAATCCATGGCAGTGCTGCTCCTTTGTAATGTGAGAGGCCACTGCTGAGCAGTGCAAGGCACCTGCTCCTTCCTAGGCCTGAGTGCACTTTATTCCACAGAATTTCTGCCGCTTAAAGGAAAGAAAAAGAGCCCTTGGAACCAAAGAGCATTTTTTGAAAGATCCTTTTACTTCTGTACTAACTCTTCTTTAGTATACATATTAACAGTTGTCTTGAATAATGTAAATGCTTGTCCAAAAGAGGAGGAATTGCTGAGATGTGACATAATTATAGATCAAAATGAAAATCTGGCTTCTGCAGCAAGCTGATATCTGCTGCACTTGGGCCCTGAGACATGGCTGTATGTGACCAGAAACAAGGTTTGAACTTTTCTGCTGGCTCAGTGTCTCCCTTCAAGTCCACAATAAGGAAAATATAGAAAGGGCTACAAGACAAATGGAAAGAAATTGATTTTGTGTGTTTCTTGTATTCTTGGTAACTGTGGTTGCTGGCTGCCACTCCAGCTTCCCCCAGATTTCTTTTGTGGCTTTCAAAGTAGGTTCACATAAAGCACAAATTGTATCAAGTGGTCTAAAAGTTTTCTTCTGCATTGCAGCTCTTAAACCAGAAATCAGACAAATGTCTACAAATACCAATAGCTGCAGATGAGCTGCCCTTAGTGAGCAGAATCCATTTAATCCAGAATGTGGGAATTCCTATCAGTGTCACACATGAACCAGGGTGAGGGCAGGAGCTGCAGAGTGCAGAGCTTGGCTGGGTTCTGATTCCCCCCAGGGTTCACATGTTCAGCTGAGTGCTCTGCAGTTGTTTTCCAGGGTTCAGAGAGGTTTTTGTCTCATTTCTCTTCCACTCCCACACCCCTCTGCCTGGTGAGGATGAGAAATAGTCACTGCACTGTATTGCTCTCATTACTAGAGGGCCAGTTCAGCACTTTAATTAGGGAATCTCATTTTCTTAATTATGGAAGAAACTCAGAAGCTGTAGTAATAGGGGAAAATTTCAATTAATATATTTTTTTTAACTTGTACTCATTATTTTTCTGTGTTGAAATAGAATGGTTGAAATTGAGGTTGAGGTTTATGACCTGGTTATTCATATGTGTCATACTGTCTACAGAAAAAAAATTATTTCAGGCTCTCCAACTTATTTTCCTTTAAAATTTTGCCATTTTATCTTTCCGCTTTTTGTTGTTGTTACACTAAAATGTTTTCTTTGACCCACCTGGTTTTATAAAAGGGAGCTTTTTAGTCTGGTAAAAAAACATGTGACCTTTTAAACACTGTATTGCAGGAAGAAATATCTGTATTTAAATATGAAAAAATGAAATCTTCTAGTATTTCAAGAAGTTATAGCTTTGCAAAATATAAATAAACACTCCTTTTTTTTACCTTTGTGGAAGACTTTAAATGTGGATTTATGCTTTCATATGGAAATGGAAAATAGAAATGGAAAAATGGAAATGAGTGCTATGAGCCATATAATTGCCCTTCTGACACTGCATCACGTGCATGAATATTCTCTGATTTTTAAGTGGAAAATGTTGAAATTACAGTGAAATCCCTCATTTTTCCTAGAGCCTGCTAGATCCACAATTGCAGGAGCTTTTATCCTGTAGTGTTTTCAGCAGCAGTGGGTGCAATCCCATAAGGATGAATGTACCATGGAAGGAAGTTTCAAAAAAAAGAAAAAAAATATTTTCAGATGTTGCCTCATTCCGAGGTTGCCTTTATTGCAGTTTTTATTGAAGTCTGTCATTATGGGGCCTGAGTCACCTTTCCTAAGTAGAGACCAGCATTTGTATGACAGCCAGAAAAAGAAGGAGGATTCCAGTAAAATGAGTAAAAAACCCTTCTCAAGTCACTGATCCTTTGCAGTGCAAACTGTTTGGTTACATGGAGCTTTAGGCTGCACAAACTTAGCAGCTGGGTTTCTCTTTCTTTTGGATTCACCTTCACCAAGCTTGAGATCCCTATCAAAATGAGATGATGTTGATTTTTCCACCTCTGCCCTTGCCCTTCATTTACAAATGAATGCTGCTCATTCAGCAGCATTAGCTGCATTTATTTCATGATTGGGACATACACAAATAATAGTATAGAATCAGAGATGGGCTTGGGTTGGTACTTAAAGATCTTTTTATTTCACCTCCAGGCCATTTTCAGGTTGCTCCAAGCCCCATCCAACCTGGCCTTGGGGAGTCCACACCCAAAATTTATGAGTAACAATTCTGTTGGACCATATTCATTTGGCAGGAAAAGAAAACACCGTCAGATGTAACTGAATACTGATCCAATAACTGTTTTCTGTTGCAGGGTGTCCCAGAGGATCTGTTGTTTTTTTATGACCATCTCCAGAAGGGTGGTGGAGTCTTCCGAGTGAACCATTGCCTCCTGCTCTACCGGTACCACCCCCAGGCTGCCACTCACTCTGTCCTAGAGTAAGCTGTGCTTTCCAGGAGAATTTCAATTTGGATTTATCTTGGATCATCAGCAGCAAAGATGGTGAAACTGCACTGGGGTTTTTAATTAGGATTTTTAATATGTAATAATATCATTCTCATGTTTTTTGACGTATGAACCATGATGTAAAACAAAAATTCCAAGTGTTGCGGCTTAATTGCAAAATCAACTGCCTCAAAATTTAAAAAGTAAACAGAAACTTGTAATACCAACAAAAACCATCTTTTGGAAAAAAAAAAAAGAACCAGACCAAAACCAAGCTTTTAATCTGATAATGTGCTGTCTTTACATATATTATTTTCTTATTTTAAAGGGTCTAAACCACCTAAATCAGATAATGAGGTTTGAAAAATCCCTGAGGATGTTTAGGAGTAATTATCTCAGGTGCTTCCTTGTGAGCTGCTTTTGTTGCCTGCTGCCTTTCCTGGGTTGCTCAGCCCCTAATGGAGGTGTTAAATTGCTGATTCCTCAACATGCTGCAAGCTGAGCCAAAGCTGTTCCCTTCTCTTATGCATTGACAGTAATAAAAAATTACATGGGTTTTGCAGTCCTTTAGGAATCCCATGCCAGAATCACAGTGGTAATTAAGTAAACTGTTTTCTTACTGATTAATGATATGAGTACACTTTTCAGTCAGTCCTGTTTTTATGGCTTAGTAGAAATGACCAGCAAAAATGAACATTACTGTGTACATCTTTGTTCTCCATCCCTGTATTGCTGCACATAGTATAAAACAAACAAATCCCAAAAATAGCCCACTCATGGTTAATATCACTACAGATCTTCATAAATATGAATATCTATCTAAAATCATTTAACTATGGAAAGTATTTAAGTATGGAAAGGTTATTCAAGCAAATAGTACATATGATTTTGATTTTGCAAACAAGCATGAGATAAATTATTCTCCTTTTTATTCATGTTGAAATGTAAAGATTTCTCTTTTTTTCCTCTTTTACTGTGTGATCCTTTTGGCAGTTAGTGACCAACTTTCCAGCCACGCATTTTGGGACGCTAAAAACTCTTGGAAGCCTTTTGCTCCTATCTGTGGGAAAGCATCTAATTCTTGGAAATTAATTTGTTTTGAATTTACTGCAAGCTGTTGCTTATTGAGATCTCCAAGGCTGTGTGGCACAAGCACCCTGAATTACAGCATCCTGGGGGAATGTGGAAATGCTGTGAGCTCTCTCAGATGTGCAGGGTGCCTGTCCAAATTGGCGCCTTCCTTGTCTCATTCTAAGAATTCAGGAGAGCTGCTCTTCCTCTTGGCTTCCTGCTGGCACTACTGGGGATGATGTTTGGTGTGGCTTTCCAAACAGGAGGTTGTGCAACAGCTCCTTGTCCTGGCTCATTCCCTTGTTTGTTGCCCGAGTTCTGAAGGGTTGCCCAGTGTTTGTGTCTGGAGACTGAAAGGAACGTTGAGCAAAAAGAGATTAATGGGCTCATCACAAAGGTTTAAGTTTATAATCTAAATTGGGTCTTGCTTAATTTGCCTCTTGGTCATTCCACCTTATTTAATGCATGCTCTGGCTTCTGTAGAAGCCTTTTTCTTTATATGGTGTGTTTTGCTGAGCAGCTTTCTGTGGTGTTTTGCTTTTTGCCATTGGCCCAGGTCATCTTTAAATTTTGAGTTAGCCTAGACCTAGATTTGGAAGTAGTAACTCACCAGCCAAATTAATATCTTGTCTGAGATCAAAATGATGTTGTAGGAAAGTTGATTTTTTTTTTTTTTAACACTGGTTTCAGTCTTAAAAACCATAGCAGGCCATTTTTATACAAAGGTGCATAATTCATTCTTTCCAGTAAAGACATCAGTCACTCGTAGCCTGTGATGGTTTCAGTTTATGTGAGTGTCTTTCAGAACCTTCCAGGGGGAAAGAAGCCTCACTGCATTTTCAGACTTCCTAAAATATGTGTAAAACTGCTTGGCAAGTGATATTTGGTTCTTTTATTTTTTTACTTAGTACATATAATTGTAAACACTCGTGCTTTAGGTCATTTCCTATGATTAGTATCCTTCTGGAACACATATCTGGAGTTGAGAATATCTGTGAAGCAGGAAACCAAATCTTATTTGCATTCTCCCTTACCCTGGAGGCGTCAGTCTGCATTATTAAATGTTTTGGGTGTGTGACAGAATCTGCATGAAGTTCAGTGTCTGTGTTTAGATTTCATTGGGTGCATGCAGAAATATGAATGTTCTCATTGTCATTTCATCCAAAAAGTCTGTGATGGATACCTGCTGGATTTTGAGAAACTTCTCTCAACTAGGAATTCACAGCACAAAATCCCACTTTTCATATCTCTTGGGTCTAAATCACTTTATTTGGTGTTGTACCCTAGGGTTGTGTGTACTCAGTGCTGCATGGCCACATTAAATTGATGTGAGACCATAGTAGAGTTTAGAGTGAGGAATACTGGAGTAAGAAAGTCTAATGTATAATAAAAACATGTTAAAATTCATAGATTATTATCTTGCCAAAGGGAAGAGAAAGGATCTGTATATAGAACAATACCTCACTGCGAGATGAAAGTGAGCTTGGATTGAGGTGAGCAATAAAAAATTGCACTTGTCTTTAGGTGGTGCAGCTCATGAAGACAGGTGGTTGGGGCATGCACTAATCCTTGGAGCAGTTTACAAGTTTTTAGTCAAGACAAATTTAATACATGTAGAAAAGAGGGTTTGTACTTTCTGTCCAAGATCTGAGCAATTCCCTCTTACACAGAAAAGGTGAAGTGCACCTTCAGTAATTTCAGTTCCCCTGTGCTCAGAATAAGCATGATGCTGCTCTGCAGGAATAAGCAGAATTACATAATCTAGTGAAAACATCTGGTTTCAGGCACTGGAAGCTTCCAGTGTCATCTGAGCGAAGAGGAACAGGCATCAGTGTGAAACACACATTTGGCTGTTTCAGAGGTGCTCTGAGGCCAGGTCTTGGATCTGTGGTGAGCACAGGAATGCCTCCTTCATTTCCTGCACAATCACACACGGCCAAAACTAGGCAGGAGAGAGGAATAACATACTCCTGTAGAGCTGAAATTAAGATGAGGTCAACTGCATTTTTATCTTCTATGCTTGCATTTGGCACTTCAATTAAACATGGAAACTAATGACCTCATTAGATTCTTGAAAAGTAAATGCCATTAACATTGATAGTCTCTGTCTCTCTTAATAAGCCTTTCATGAAAAATAGGCCACAATGCAAACCATGCCTCAGCTAATGACCCGTGACCTGAAGATGAACCCAGACATTAATAGAACCTATTAACAGTGTAAATGTAATAACTCAGTGGGACGATATAGTCCAGCAATTAATAAGTTCACATGAAGTTCAACAGAACAACAACGGCAAAAAAAAATCAGTTTATTCACCAGTATGGCCAAGGTTCAAACAGGATTTATTTCTGAATTTCCTGTGGATGGTAAGGGCCTTGAATTCTGCAGCAAAAGCTGTAAGGGATCTGCTTTTTCAGCTCTCACTGTGGTGATGAAGTTCTCTGGTTTATCGATCAGGTGAGATTCACCTCTCATCCAGAACTCTCTTACCCTGCCATCAATAAAAAGGCCCTGGAAGAGGATGCTCACTTGGGCAGCTCCTCTTCCTGCCTGGTGTTACCTGAGCACTGTGCAGGGCCAGCACAGGGAGAAAAGGTCAGATTTATGGATCTATAGGATTTCTGTGGATGGCAATCCGTGCCTAAAATTCAAGTACCGTTCAGGATATTGGGCTTGTATTTCTGCATTGCTCAAGTACTTGTCCATCTGTCTTTGCTCTGTGGATTCACTTATGTGGCCTCACTGGGGGAAAGGAGGGGAAAGGCAGTGCAACAATATGGCGAGGTTTGACTAAGCTCAGACATTAAATCATGTTGCTTTTATTGTCACATTATCTTTCATTTCAAAATAGGAGTAGAGCAGATGTTTCTTGACTCCTGTAGTCAGTCAGTAGGGTCACCACACATTTTTAACAGAGCTCCATTGTTGCATTACTTGGGTGGATGGTCTGGTAATAACTACTTGGGGCTGAGGAACACACGGTGTAGTCATTCTCACCCTCTGCATGAATACCCTCGTTTCACTCCTGCAGGATTTTGGCTCCTCTTCTTCCTCCCAGGCTCCATAACTGATGAGCATTGAGGGGCCAGGGCAAGTCAGATCTTAGGAAAATTATGTGAGCCTCAAAAATGACATTTGGAGTAGAAATACTCCTAACATTTCTTTTACAAAGTTGTAACAAAATGAAAGGAATGGGGGAAATAATGTATTTCAAGATTTGGGGTCAAGAAAGAGCATTAGGATATGGGAACAAATTTGTACATTGAGAAGTATTTTGTCCCACCTTCTGGCTGAGGAAAATCTTGTGAACTGAATGCAGGCTTGGACATGGCACTAAAGGCTGCTGCAAATTGCTTACTCTAATCTTTTGTGAGATGGGTAGGAAAAGCTGTCTTGATTTGGAGTTGAAGCAGAGTAATAATACCTCCTTGGTTTTGCTGGTGGCTGTGAATATGTAATAATACATAATCTGAAAATAGCTGTGAGAATCATCTCTGAGTAGTGGTTTGTACAACTTCTGGATCGTTTCAGGCATTTTCTTTAATTACCCTTTGCACGTTGCTGCAGCTCCTGTCTGCTGCACCTGCACTGGCTGCTGAGGGATGGGAAAATGGCATTCCCTTATCCCTCCAGGCAGGAATCCCAGTTATCTCTTCTGGAAACATAAAAAAAAACAAAAAAAAACAAGTGGCAACTTAGGTGAAGCGGAAACCTGAAGGGAATAACCGAAACTCTCTCCTCTGACACCTGTAAGCTCCCTTTGCCCCAGCCTGTGGGATTGTTTGTGCAGAGGGAGTTCTCACAAAGATGAAGCCTCTGAGTGTCACTCTAAATTCTCCCTCAGTTCTGTGTTGATCTGGTATCTCAGCTTGCACTGTTAAAAATATTTCAGGGTTAAGTCAAGACTTCAAAGTGTTTGATAGAACTTAATTTTTTCATTGAAAACACATGATATGGAGGTGTGAGTGCCACTGTGATATTTTATGAAAAATCCCTTTGCCAGGATTTTTCTCCTGAGAAGCCTCAGAAAAGAAATGTAAACAATAATTATCTGATTGCTTGGAATGTGGTTTGGAGGTTGCTTACCAACAGGTGCATCTTTGATTGGTTCCATGTGAATTGCTTTTAATTAATGACCAATCCCAGTCCAGCTTTGTTGGGACTCTGGTCAGTCACTGGTTTTTCTTATCATTCTTGTCTAGCCTTCTGATGTCTCCTTTCTCTTTCTTTAGTATAGCATTTTCTATCATATCGTATCGTATCATATCGTATCATATCATATCATATCATATCATATCATCCTTCTGAGAACTTGAAGTCAATTCTCATCTCTCACCTCGTCCTGGGACCCTCACAACACAACAGTGTGAGCTTCTAATGCTTTTCTGTGGGCATTGTCATAAGAATGGCTCATAGTGATGCAAGTAAAACATCCCAACTGCTGGGTATACTGGCTTTGTTTTTACAACCCACAGCACATATTTAAGAAAGGTTTTTATTGTTGTTAAATGAAGCTGTCTGACAATATTCTTGTGGTTGAACAACAACACAATTAATTTGGAGTTTAATACCTTTCATTCCCTTTTATTTCAGAGTGCAGTTCTCTTACAGGCTTTCCCCACTTGCTTTTCCAGGATAACATTGATAGGTGAGATGAGTCAGTAAATCTCCTTAAATCTCCTTCAGTCTGAAATCTTCATGTGTGATTAACAACTCTGGGACTTGGTCTGATTGAATTTTACCTCAGTAGGGCACTGAAGGTCTCATGGCCTAGACAGCACCCACAAACTGTCTGCAAGAACCAACCCTGCTGTGCTGGGACCTCTATCTCCATGAAATAAAATCATCTTGTACAAGCCTGGAGGTAGATTGCAGTGTTTGCACTGCACCTAGAAATTAGTTACAAGTTCTTTTCATGCCTTGTAAGGCTGCCTGGTTTTTTACTTTAGTTTCCTTAATGTTGTAAACTCAAGTGGAAAAGAAACTTGCCAGTGCCACTGAAGCCAACAGAAGAGATTCTGAAGATCCTTTGGAATGTAATATGGTGTTATCCTTCTGAAGTCACATTTCAAAGGAAAATCACTTTTAAAAGCTTTCCATTTATGTGCAAAGCAATAATCTTCCTTTTTAGAAGCACGCAGAAATTCTAGTAAAGTGATCCTGGAAAAATACTTGACCTTCATATTTTGTTCCTTAAACTTTCCTTTGGGACTGCAGTATGCTCTCATGAACATGGAAAAAGGCAAGTGTCAAAGGATGCCAGCAGCAGTTAAAGCTTTGCAGCAGGAATGCATCTTGTGGTTGCATTAGAAGAGATTTTTGATCAAATCCAAAATTTTCTTTTTCCCCATTAGTTGAAATGCTGGTGCAGAGCCATCATCCTTGGAGCTGTGAGGAAATTTTATTTGTGCTCGAGGTCTTTTCCAAGTTATCAGAGCAGGATCAGTGATGAAGTGCTGAGCAGGATCTGGCTGTGCTGAAGTGAAGTGGGGTCACTGGGTCCTATGAGGGTTGTGTGGTCTTCAGAACAGAACTGGGGCTGTGAAGGAATGATGCAAATAAGAAAATGGAAAACTCCACTTGAAGTTTGCCTTAAATAAGGAGACACCACTGGGGGCTCATCAGAATTTCCTGGGAAAGAAAGTTACAGCTGAAGGTGCCTTGTTCAAGAGATGTATGTTGGGAAGTTTCATTTGTCAAATTGAGGAGGAAATCAGTTTATTCTCTTTAGGAAACTGTTTGATAAGTCTGAGGTGGGTTCCTAGTTAATATTAAATGAATGCTGGAAATAAAGTAGATGTTTTTAACAGCAGGCAGTTTTCTTTAATCCATGATAAATGTTGCAGTCTTAAATATTGCATTATAGGGTAGAAAACACTTAAACATGAAAAAAGCTGTAGTTGTCCAAGTGGATTTGCCAGCTGGAAGAAGTGGACCATGAACAAACTGCTTTCCTTGACATTGTTTTCTCTCTCTGAGAACCTGTCTTGAACTTGTGGAAGATGTCAGCAGCTCTTCAGTGTCTAAGGCTGTAAACTGACCAAAGGTTTTTTATCTGAGAACTTCCACAGAATTTCTTTTCTACGTTTCGCCCAGAAATTTCCAATCTGATGTTCTGATGTGATTTTAATTTTTTTTTTTTTGTGTTATATGAATCACTTTGGTCAGGTTTACCTGTAGGTGAGTGTGTACATGTGCACATAGTTCTATAATAATGCTAAAACAAAATCTGCCCTTTTTCCAACTCTCCAGGGAAACCATCTGGAATCACCGAGTCAGGTTCCTTGAGGACAGAGTCCTGAGCTCCTGGACATCATTCACCATTTGGAATGCTGGCAAGCAAGGCAAGAAGCTCTACAGAAGCTTGTCACCAGCTAATCAGAAAAAGGTGAGCTGGAAAGTGACATTTGTACAAACCCACTTCTTCTTCATATTCTTTTAATCTAACCCAGCAAATTCTCATAAGATATTTTGTCCCCAAAGTACAAGGTTGATAGTTAATATAAATTTAGGCAATTCTCAATATTCTGTGCGATGTATTTCTTCTTTTAAAATGCCATGATATTTTATTTAGAGCTTATGGTGAGCAGGGAGAGCAAGAAAAGCACCATGTCCCTGCTAAGCACAGCAGTAGGTGAGACACAGCTGTAGTAGGCAGGTACTCAGGTGAGTAGAGAGCTCTTTATTCGGGTTGTGAACTCTTTATTTGGGTGCTGAACTGCCTTGTCCAGGGTCATTCACACCTGTGTAATATTTGCCCAGTTCCAAAGTGGATACTGGGCACGTCCCTGATCATTGAATCCCTTTGGAAAGGGACTGATTGCCATAAAGGATTTGATTGCCAAAAAAAAAGGGTTTGGTGTGGGCTGAAAGGGTGAGCAGAAACTGCTGGACATGGCTGTCCCATTCACAGTCAGCTGAAAATGCTGGGATTTGGCAGTGACAGATATTTCTCAGGATAGATTTGTCCAAGAGTCTAAATACCTTATTTTTATAGCATTTTCTTGTGTGCAATAACTTTGTGTTAGATAAAGGCTTTAGGGCTAATGTCAAATGGCTGTTTCTTATAAAGAGCCACAGAACATTCATTTTATTGCTGCATGTGTTTTTCTTTTCTTAAGAATATGGATGGGAAGACAAAATGACAAATGCATATAAAAACCTGATTAATGTTGTGGCCCTCAGACCACACACACATAAAAAAAATAGAAGACATTTGTATACACACAGTTAGAATTACTGAATAGGCATGGGAGTAAATGTACAAAGCAAAAACTGAACTGAATTTCCTGTTTGATATTCCAGTGCCAATCCAGTGCCATCCCTCAGTCATTGCCATCATGTGGCAGTGGGTGAGATGGATGAAAAGATTTTAAATTACTCAGTTGCTTTATTCAGAAAGGACAGACCTGTCCATTAAATATGATTTTTTATTTCTTGATTTATTATGACAGTTATATTCTGTATATTATTTCATTATTATATATAATAATCATAATGACAATTATCTTATATTTATATATATTAAAATCTAAAAAAGTATAAAGCCAACTAAAATTAAGTTTAGACAGAATATTGCTGTCTAAAGCTATATATATATATATATATGTATGTAAGTTTAGGCTTCTGAGATTTCACCTATGCTTTGTTTGTCTGCATACTTTTATTGAGGTGCAGAATTTCACCACATGTCCTGACTGACTCTGGCTGCACTGCGGAGTCTCTGCAGGGTTGTTTTCTCAATTGGCACCAAGTACCTGCAGAAAATTTGGGATACAAACTCCTAGGATAAAAAAAAAGACCTCAAAAAAACCCTCCTACATACATCTTGTATTATTTTGTAATTTTGAAACAAACCTGGACTGTACTAAATCCTCAGGAAGAGAATTAAATAATTTGAACTGTCAGGCTTAGGGTGTGTAAGAAAACATCTTTTTCAAGAAGAAAATAATGTTTCTAGTATTTTTAGAACCTGGTAAACAAAGCAATTGCATTTCTTCTGCTGACAGGGTCTTTGTGGGATGTTGAAAAGCCCAGCTCTGCCCCGTGCCAAAGAGAATTGTTTCTTAGAAAACAAAATTCAGGCAATTCCAGGAAGCAGCAGTCTGTCTATGTTCATACTCACTAACAAATTATTACTTTAGTTTGTTTGGGAAACAGTGTGAATGTGAGCTGTGGTTATGTTAAAAGAGAAAAGGACACCTCAGCAATTCTCCTTTTCCCTCAGCCATCTGTATACTGAATATTAAATGATGCTTTGTCTCCCAAGGAGTCAGGCAAAAATCCAAGGCTCAGGATTTTTGCTAAACAGCAACACACGAAAAAAATTATTCCACTAGTAGGTTTTTTTATGAATTAATTACCATGATCTCAGTATTCTTAGGGAAATTCTGCTTCCTGGCTGTCCCCTTCTTGATTCACACTGCTGACAGTGGTTCAGTATTAGCATTTCTGCAAGAATGAAGTCAAACAGGCCTTTTTTTGTTTAAAACACATCCGTTGTGTCTATAATTTGCAGCTGAAGATGGAAACCAAATGTTTTTTGGGATGCTCCATGTGCCTGGAGGGTTTCTGAGCTGTCTTGTCTGCTCTTTTATTCTCCATCAGACTTCAGCTAAAAGGAGAACTTGAGCATTAACATCTCGTGTCATTTCCGATGGCTGAAATTAGAGTTCCAGTGGCTCATGGAAAAGCAGGGGAAAGGCCCAAATAAGCATCAGCTCATTAGTGGGCTGGAAACAGTGCTTGTACACAGCCAGGCCATGCCATTCCTCTGTGACAACAGAAAAAGTCTTTTGAAGGCCCTTTTCCCTGGCTCATCGACCATCTAAAATCATCCATTGGGTTCCCTCTGCCTTTTTCCAAGGGCAGCATCACCAAACCTTGTGTTGCAGCTCTGATCCTTCAGCTCATCCCCACAGCCAAGAAATGTTCAAATTTTGCAGCATTTTAACCATTCTGAAAGTGTGTGAGTGGCACTGTCAGGGCCTGGAGTGGGGACATGGAAATCAAAGAAAAATGAATAAAGGGATAATAATGTTGCACCCACCTCTACAGTGGAATGGCAGTGTGAAAGCAAGTTAAAAGCCTCCAGAACAAGGAAAGAGATGAAATTTGAAAGTTTCACTTAAATCCAGGTTTAAAACATCCTAAAATGACATGGGGTAAATCAAGGCGTCATTTTGGGCTGTAGTGAACGCTTCTCGGCCAGGAAAACTCCCTGTTGTTTCCATGTGGGAGGAAGTGCTGTTTGTGAGCTCTGTTTTGCCAGCACAGAGCTGTGCACACCCAAAATGTGCCTGGCACCACTCAGATTTCCTCTGCAGGGATGAGTCTCTGGCAGTGAGGTCCCACCCCTATGAAGGCAGGTGTGTGTTGTACATAACAAGGGAAATGTTTTATATCCAGTGTTTAGCAGCTGATTTTGCACGTTGGATTCTGGTGTTAAAATTCTCCATTGATTTTGTTGTGGGTATGTGCAAAAAAGGGGAAGCTGCTGCTGTTTTCAGTGGAATGGTGTCTAAATGGAATAATAAAATTCATTCTTGGGATTTAAGGATACCCTCAGCTTCTGTCCTGGCTGTAGTGCTAAAGAGGTGAAATAAAAGCAGCTCCTGGTACAGAAAATCAGAAAATCAGAAAATCACTCAGATTGTGGCTGGTGCTTGCTGGTTCCATGGCGTGGCAGAAGCTGTTCATGCCCCTGTGTCTCTTGTCCTGTTTTTTCATTAGCTCTGTCTATGTGAACTTGCATTGTAATGCTTTCAGTTGCTTTGTTTTGACATGAGTGGCCAAAACTGGTTTTGCTTTTGCAGAGATGTATATTAACACGCTCCTGAGGCTTTCTAGAAGCTTCAATGAAAGAATTATAAATAGAAGAATTAACAGGGTTCACTAGAAGTTTAAAACAGATGGGAGATTGCACGAGATGGGGAGGGAATGCAGCAGGGAAGATCTCAGTAGGATTTTGCAGGTTGTCTCTGGATTTTGCTCAGTAGGATTTTGCAGGTTGTGTCTTTGGAGGTGACTCTGAGACACCAGCTGATGTTGGGAGGAAGGAGAAGTCCCAGTGTGCAGGTGACCATTTATTGGAAGGGTTTTCCAGTTTTCTGTCAAGTTCCACTCAGTTATTTACTCTCCCATGTGGAACTTGCCTCTCATGTCCTTCCAGACCTGAGAATGTGCTGATTTCAGGTTGTTGCTTTCTGTGAATGGCTGTTACAGACCACAGGTGAAAACAAAATCCTGTGAAGATCATCCACCATAAAAGGACATCATTAGGGTGATGAAACCTTTCAGTTTTTCCATGATGAAATCTGAGTGGAATGGGAAGTGTGAGCAAACACTGTCTGCAGTACCCAACCAGTCACACCGGAAAAAACAATTAAATTGTTGTGCAATCCCAGCAGAGCTCCAGCAGGCAGGTACTCCCAGCTGCACCCCAGGGCTCCCTTCTGTCGCTGCTGCTCCTGCTGGGACCTGAGGAGGATCTGCTGCCTTTAATCTCCTTTCCCCAGGGAGGTCTGATAGCCCCAGCCTGGCCCTGCTGAGCCCCTGTGTTTATTAGGAAGAACAGCCAGAAAAGGGCTTTTATCTTCCTCAAACGTGTCATCCCCTAGCAGAGGTTGTTTCTGAGTTGGTATCTTATCTTTTGAGCAATGTAAACTTTCTATTTGGAGGGAGAAGGCAATTTCTCCTTTTTCCCTTACACCGCTGTTAGTGGAAGTTGCAGTCCATATTTATAAAAATTACTTACAGTAGTTCCTTAGCTTGCCTGTAGCACAGACCCAGCTCCTCCAGTTTTGAGCTGAGAGAATTAGCAGTGTTCTTTCCTTTGGAATTTTTGTAATTGTGCAGATTTTTATACATGTTTAAAACAAAAACATGTCATAATTCATATATTTTAGCAACACTGAAGCGTGATCTGAGGACTCAGTGTGTCATACTGCCAAAGAGTAATTTTGCTAAAAGGAGAGGCTGGAAAAAAGCAACTTGAGACTCCTTTATGGCTTTATAATTCATGATTTCTCATAGGGAGACAGGAGTTCATGTGTGGATATGTTCTTCATAAAAGCTACAAGAAAGAAGGCCATTAATGCAGGAAAATAAATAGGTGTCTCTGGGTTTATCTTGATAGTGTATAAAGTAAATAACTCCCATAAGCCTGATGCCCTGGCTTCTCCTTATAGGATAAACAACTGTGCCTAAGTCCTGTATTTAGACTCCAAACACAGCTTTGCTTTAATTGGAAAATAAATAGTGTGTGTCAGAAAAAGAGTTGCCTTACATTTTGGCCACCCACATGGTGTGCAGGCTGCAGAAAAATCACCCATTCAGGTCTGACCTGTTTTTTACTACTGTAAATACCAGGTCTAAGCTGCCTGAGCCCATTGGGAATTATACAGGGAAATACCTCAGTGATAACAAAAAGGGTTTGAGCTCTTTCCATCAAAAAGGGAAATTTGTCACAGACTCATCTGTGTTCTTTTTTTCACTGAGGGGTTTGTGGGGGGTGTTCTGGGGGCTGGGACAGGGCAGAGTTTTCTACACCCAGAAATTGGAGTGATGGAGTGAGAGGGAGAGCTGGAATTAATGGCAATTTAGTGATACAAGGAGTGTCTTTGGAGAGAGACTGTTTACAAGGGGATGTAGTGACAGGACAAGGAGAAATGGTTTTAAACGGACAGAGATTGAGATTAGATATTGGGAAGAAATTGATTCCTGCTGAGAAGTCCAGGCACCACTCAGGGGTTTCTGTTAACTGGGTTAGTAACACACTGAGGGTGAACAGTGAGACTTTCCAGCACAGATCTTGCAGCTGAATTCTCAGTTAGTGACAGAGAAATGTAAATAGAACTTCACCTTGTGTCATAAGTTTTGGTGGTTTATTTTGGTTTTTATTATCTATAAGAGCACAATCAGCTCCAAAAATAACTTCATTTATTGGACAGTAAATCAACATATTGTACTTTGTTCCTAGAACTCTCTTGGGTTGACATTGAAGGCATATCTTGCTAAATATTGTTTAATATGATCACAGCTTCCAGGACAGTAAAACACAAATGGTTTAACTGAGATTTGCTGAATATTAGTGAATTTTAAAGCGCAGAATGAAGAGAATACAGCTAGGGAACT